TGGCGCAGTTCTTAGCAAGACCAGCTGCGATACCAGCATTGACTGAGAAGAGATCATCTCTGGTCATGCCGGGCTTACGAGGAACACCGGCAGTGATAACGATGAGCTTGCTTCCAGTGAGGCAAGCCTCGAGTTCCTCCTCACCGGCGTAACCCTTAACCTCAGCGGGGGTGTTGATGTGACTCAAATCCTCAGCAACACCGGCGCAAGGAGTACGAGCCTGCTTGATATCGTAAAGAGCCAACTCAGAGATTTTCTGGTTGAGCTTCAAGAGAAGAGCGAGAGGCTGTCCGATACCACCGCAAGCACCGAGAAGAGCGACCCTGAATGATGACATAACTATGAAAGGAACAAAAAACTGTTGATTAGGTAATTGAAATGGAACTGGCATAATACGAACTAGCTTCGAGCTTAGCTTCATGATCTTTCGATGGCTAAGATATGTCTAGAGGACAGCAGCATTGCACTATCCGATACTTGGAGTTGGTTATGCTTGAGCATTAAGGCTGGGGAGGGATGACAGTAGAGTATAATACTGAGTGTTACTAGGAATATCTACTAGTGTAGAACAGCAGTTGATCAAGGTACATTACACTCTTCTCCGACCGTCGTAGCCCGACGAACCAAATGCTCGCTGTAATGCACAAAAATTAGACGAACAGACGAATCGTCTAAGACGACAGGAGTACAGTAGCAAAATATATTCGCGATGTGGATACCTATTCGAACAGACGATACTACGAAGTCTCACAGGTTTGCCAGAGTTCAGAAGGTCTAAGTGAGACGTGTGATGAAACTGACCACACTGAGAGAAGTGCAGATGCCAACAGGGCTCAGTGATTGAAGCTAATCTATAAATCACGTATGTCTAATGGCAGCAAAACCAATGATACACAGCAAGTATTGTCATGTAACATCGGAGACTTTAGCTTGAGGGCGACGATATCGTTATTGTGGTGCTATAAAATTACGAGTCCCATTCCGTTATCGGTTTTGGTGGCCCACTTACTGTGGTGAGACTATTTGTTCAGACAGGCAACTACTACAAGTAGCTTCCAGTGGCACTTGAGATTCGGTCAAAGCGGTCGTCAATTATCCGTAACTCGATAACACGACAACATCGCGAAGAACATCGGGTAAAAGAATTACCACAATTAAACGAAGGATAGCTGTAGAGAAAAATGCAGACGGTTATTCGAGGGAAGTACATCCCTCAATAAGTTAGCTGTAGGAGATTAACTTACTCCTGCTTGTTGGCAAAGTCAATGCCCCTCTGAACATCAACCTTCAGCTTAGTGATGACTTCCTGGAGCCTGCCAGCCTCGTGTTCGCTCAAGCCCTCAATGGGATGAATCTTGGAGACGCCTTCAGGTCCGAAGTCGCACAAGTAAGAGAAGT